ACTTAAACGCAAAACACCCACACTGGAACAGCCGCTGTAGTAATCCGGCCGGCAACAAAATCTACAACCATATGATCAACTCGGACTATAATATCACCGCACCAACCACGCCAACGTTCTACCCGAGGATCCCCGATCACAGACCGGACGTTCTGGACATAATCATTAATCGCCTGCCGCACCTTACTACAGACATAACAAACCTGAACGAACTATCATCAGACCACAATCCTATTTACTTTTCAGTCTCTGACTCAACAATATCCTCTACCCCACCTACCAACAACACATGTATCAATTGGATAAAATTCAATCAAATTATATCGGAAAATATTCAAATAAACCAATCCACAAATTCGCCAGCAGAAATAGATAATACCATTCACTACTTCAACAACGTAATAAATTCCGTAATAGACACAAGTTCGTATAAAAAGAAAAACAACATCTACAAAGACGACTTACCAGTCGAGATTATAAAAGAAATCAAGAATAAAAACCAGATTAGACGTCTATGGCACAAATACAAAGACCCAGCGACGAGAAAAATACTGAACAGAAAAATCAAACTCATCAGAACAATGCTGACCGTACACAAACAAGATACATGGGACAAATTTTTTGATTCATTGGAACCTCAAACAGGTAATATTTATAAACTTAATAAACGTCTTTTAAATAAAATTCCAGCCCAACACCCGCTGAACGGACCAAACGGACAGGTATATAAATCAATAGAGAAAGCGGAACTATTCGCAGACGTATACGAAGACCAATTCTCACCGAACGCAGGTCAAGACCTACCTGACGTGACTTTATCCATCACAACAATAGAGTCAGCGGATCAGCCCTCAAACATTTTTATGTCGCCACACACAGTCCAGGAAACAATAAGAAGGATACCCGCAAGGAAAGCACCCGGTGAAGACAAAATAACAAACACCGCGCTCAAAAATCTACCAGCAAAAGCCATCCTATTATTAACAAAAATTTTCAACAGCTGCTTACGACACAGTTACTTTCCCCTCGCGTGGAAAACCGCCACAATAATTACAATACCG